AAAACAAACCTCTACTATATTTACACTGCCTAAAATACCCTTCAGACAGCGTGTTTCGGATATTCACGCAAAGCTACACAGGAATTATCTGCATTAGCCATTCCTAATTTTGAAGTGATGGGCTTAAGGGAAGATAGTTGTCAACAGTGCCAACTCTTGGGCTACTGTAATCGAATAGTGATATTCTGAACAAGTGTTGGCTGCTCCGTAAACTAACGGATATTGTTATAAAATACTATTTTTATATAAATCAGTTAAAAATGAATTTACACCACATCTGCATGAGAAATGTATGTCTATTTGTTTCCGAATGTTTTGTGTATGGTTTATAAACATAATAAAACGACTATTGCAACTACTTGAAGTTCGAATCCGTCTAAAGTCGTTTTAAGAGTTCTTGTTGATTTGAAAACCTTGAGCTTTACATATTCTTAGGGATTGCACAAAATATTCTTTGTCTATCTTGTTGAGCTTGTCCCTCGATGGGTCAGCGGTAAGTTTATGGACTTACAATGCTAAAATCCGAGCTTCGATACCCTGTGGTGAACAGAGTACAGATAGCCCTTTGTATAGCTTTGCATTAATACAACTACAATTGTTGAGCTGAATCCACAACCACGCTAATCAATAGACCGGGAATGGCCTAATGGTTAGTATATTAACCTACGGATTCAAGGTTCGAGACGTAATGCCGCTAAACACTTAAATACGGATCATTTGTACCTGAACCCTTCTAACCCAAGTGTGCACGAGGTGACATTTTGTTATGGAATAACACGAAGATATTGTTGAAAATGTTTCGTTCAATGAAAATTCATTGTTATGAACTTAGTTGGTTCACATGCACTTGTTGTGAAAAACTTCCGACAACAAACGAATTTACATGTTAAGTGGAGTTCGAACTATATGAAGAGAAATAGGTTTTGAAACTTTCAGCGATGTAATTATATGTACGCAATATCGGTAGACTCGCAACCTGCTAGTCACTGATGTTCACCAGCCTTCCCTCTAGTCCATAACTTCTAAATAAAGCCCTCAAGTAGATTTGCGTGAAATTAAACAAACAATAGACAATATAACACTACATTGAATACTAATTGTGCAGGTACAGATGTAGCTAGAATACGTCACAAAAAGCTCCCCCTATCAAAGCTTGGCAGACCTTATGCAGGTGTATGATATGGGTCTTTAAATTAACTTATTAAATGAATCCTTCAATAAAAATAAAAACTACACAAGTAATGGGCAAAATATATATAAAGTTTAACGGGCGCATTTTACTACTTTTTATGTGGCTCCTGTAAATATTTGAGAGTGTTACTATACACCCAGGAGCTGTTTAAATATATTCATATGGAAAGAGCGATTAACTTTTGGACCTATAGTGTTGACTCCATACGAGCTGTTGAACGGATGGCGATACCTTATCAAGCTGCTGTGGATAAGCAATACAGTGTTGATTCCATACGAGCTATTGTACGGATGGCGAGACCTTATCAAGCTGTTGTGGATCAGTAGTAGAGTGTTGACTCCATACGAGCTGTTGAACGGATGCCGATACCTCATCAAGCTGCTGTGGATCAGTAGTAGAGTGTTGACTACATACGAGCTGTTGAACAGATGGAGAGACCTTATCAAACTGCTGTGGATCAGTAGTAGGTGTGTTGACTCCATACGAGCTATTGTACGGATGGAGAGACCTTATCAAACTGCTGTGGATCAGTAGTACAGTGTTGACTACATACGAGCTGTTGTGAGGATGGCGAGACCTCATCAAGCTGCTGTGGATCAGTAGTACAGTGTTGACTGATATTTAACCAGGAAATCTAATCTTGATTGCGAATTTAAGATTATTAAATATCCTATTAGGTTGGGCCAATTAAGATTACAAGAAAAGTTGAATGGTCTGGTTGCTAGCAAATAAGACTGTGGGTAATCATATACGAGTTGACCACGAAAGCAGATATAATGAAGCACCACTAAAATCACATTACGAGCTATCAAATATTACTAAACTGGTTTAAACAGACAAAAAAATATCAAAAACGTTAGGTAACTTCATGTTGTTCTTTTTTATCTCACTTAAGTTCTCCAGTTCAAAATATATTCTGGTCGATATTTTCTGAATAGCTTGTATCTGTGCCACGACTTCTTTTAAGTTCTTGCAAGTGAAAGGCTTAAAACAACGTGTTTCTGAAACTAAGTACCCAGATCTAGGTACTCAACATTCCGAAACCGAGGTGAGTCAAATTAGATGAAAAATATGACTTCATTAGCACACAAGGCTTGACTGTGGTTTGAATTCCGCGCAAAGCTACACGAGGGCTACCTGCGCTAGCCGTGCCTAATTTAGCAGTGAAAGATTACAGGGAAGGCAGCTAGTAATAATCACCAACCGCCAACTCTTGGGCTACTCTTTACCAACGAATATTGGGATTGACTGTCACATTATAACGCCCCTACGGCTGCAAGGGTGAGCATGTTTGGTGGGATGGGGATACGAACCCGCTGACCCTCAAATGGCGAGCCAAGCGCCCTAATCATCTGGCCTTGCCGGGCACACAATGCTTGAACTGTTTACAATATCTGCTACAAAAACGACCATTCGAATAATCATTTAAATTATAGTAACATAAAATTTTCGTTAAATTTCTACTAATTAAATCTGAAATTGGTTGAACGTAGCTTAATGCTTAAAGTTCCAGGCTTCGATAAGGAAGGTCCATATTTCCCTGGTCAGCCGTTTTAATTTAGGAAGGACTACTATGACTAAACTCTGGGGGTTTTGACATGGACATTTAGCCCATTCGTCACACAAGGGTTGAAAATGCCTAAACGTATACATTTGTTGTTGTTTTTGTTTGGTTGGTTTTAGATTATCTGCCACACGAACTGAATGATTTCTTTAGTTTTGGTGGATGATGTAGGTGTAAACCAATTTCCATATAACACCATGTTAGTAGATAAAACAAAATGCTGAAAGCTTTACACGTCTACAGAACTATACCTAAGGGGTTATTATCTAAAGGAATAGTCCACTATAATCCGTAGTTCAGGTTCAAAATTGTAATTTCATATTTGGAAATGTTTCAGAGTTCGCATAGACTCGAGGCCGTAACCAGACTGAGGCAGAAGAGATAACTGCCTCCTCGCTTTTTCCCAAAAATTGGGGAGGGGGAGGGGCTATAAAAAATTGTAACATTGGAAACAAACGACGAAACGTATTCAATAGGAAAGCAACCCCAATCATTCAACAAAAGAGCCCCAAATCATTCAACAAACTTACTTCCAATCTTTCAAAAAAAGGGGCCCCAATCAGTTTTTAATTGTCCTGTACATTGTGTATTATTTAAAAATTGGTATGTACATAGGCCCAGTTCCGTAGAGACAGCCCCTAAACCCCCGGCCATGGACCCCGCTAAAAAGGGTTAAAAGGGGCCCACTTTATACCTTATACTCAAAATAAAATTTTATAGTTATGCAATGTTCTGCTGTATTTATTGTTTCCTGCGATAGTGGGGCTTTTATGAGTAGGGGCCCCTTCGAGAGTTTGCCTCCCCGCTTTTTCAGCGCTGGATACGGCTCTGGGACTGCAGACCCGGTTATTCCATTCACAAATACCAATAAAGTATTTCTATCAATATTCTGAGTTTATTCGTATAATTAGTTTCCTTTCAAGGTCTGTTTCGATTTTTATTTCACTATCAGCATATGCCTTGAATATAGTTTTCAAATTTTAAGTATACCGTTGCATAAATTATGTATTTACAGTATTTTACACAGGTTCATTAAATATATTCAAACTAGCAAAATATAAAAT